GGGAAGTCCAGGGTCCAGAGTCTAGTCCAGCTTTGAGGATATGCCGTTGTTAACATTTTCCAATATAACCCCATGTGAGCAGAAATGTAATGACCATGGACAGAGTTCTTGCAGTAGAGTTAAAACTGTGATGTGGTAGCAGAAGACAGTTTATTCTTTTCTCGATGTAAAATGTGGACTGGGTAAAAAACATGAATTTAGGTATATACTGTCCTGATCTATGTTTATGATTGGTTGTAACACATTCCTGTAATATTTCAAGTGTTCACTTTTTTACTTGTTTGACTAACAAAACTGTGTAATTTTATCTTTGTACTAGGTAAAAAATAAGGTATAAAAGATTGCTAAATAGCTTAAACCTTATTGGTAAACTAAGAAGTTTGACGAGACAGAATTTCTTGGCGTTTTATTTAAATAGGAGGATATGAAAAAGGGCATTGAATTTTGCAGTTCAAGCATTCTCTAACTTGGAAAAAACTGGCAAAGCCGGTTTTGCCAAGTTATCATTATATATAAGGGAAACAACTTCTTTGGGGTAAGATTTAAAGGGTGTTTAGTTAGGGCTGTGTGGCTGAAACCCTTTATTTCCGACACTGTTTAAGGAAAAATGCATTAAAATTGCATGCCTTTTTAAGATGCCAAATAGTACAATTGAATACTTTTTTTAAGATTGAAGATCCCATGAACCTATACCATGCAAAGCTGCACATACCGAGTGATCTGAGCCAAACATGGCATTCCTTGCCCAAATTTTAAAACAGATAATAGTATTTTTTGTTTTTCTACGTTTTCTCCTTTTATTCAACGGGCATGATCTGTTGTAACATGCAAAATGTGAAATTTGATCTATGACTTGTAGAAAAGAACAGAACGACTACAGTCTCATAAGCTTAAAAGATCCTAGCTGTGTATTCGGAATTACAGGAAAATACATAGATTTTTCAAATGTTATAAAATTATTTTGTTTTATTTTATTTCTCGTTTGCAGACTCGACTCCAGAATTGTCTGATAAAAACTAAGCTAATCGAGAACAAACGTCGCCTATCTCGGCGCTTAAAATCCTCCTTCTTGATAAGCCGTTCGCGATAAAGTGTTGCGCGACGACCCAAACGAAAGCTCTGCTGTATATTTATTGACTTCTGATGACGAATACGCTGTTTGTGGAACAAATTTCTTGCCAAATCAACTTCTTTGCCGCAAATATTAAGCGACGAAATTCTTCTTTGTGGAGGAGACTTTCGATCACGTGCTGGGCAACGAAAAGGATCAAGTTTCACCGATACAGCTATTTCGAGAAAGGTCGTCGGAAAAAAAGTGCACGCGACAATCCCGAAAGGTAATATGGGCTATAATCAATACACTGTTCCTGACACTGTAGCTGTCGAACCTGATTTTGTTGCTTTCCTTTAGCTCTCGCAAACATACATCCATGGCCTCTCATGCCATTCTTTCAAATTTCTTTGAAGAAAAGTGAACTCAAAACTACCCACAATACCATTCTGGATTGTCTCGTGCACTTTTTCCGACAACCTTTCTCGAAATAGCTGTATGCAGATATAGGACGAACCTTGGAGACTTCTGACACCGCCGTACGATGANAGCCGTTCGCGATAAAGTGTTGCGCGACGACCCAAACGAAAGCTCTGCTGTATATTTATTGACTTCTGATGACGAATACGCTGTTTGTGGAACAAATTTCTTGCCAAATCAACTTCTTTGCCGCAAATATTAAGCGACGAAATTCTTCTTTGTGGAGGAGACTTTCGATCACGTGCTGGGCAACGAAAAGGATCAAGTTTCACCGATACAGCTATTTCGAGAAAGGTCGTCGGAAAAAAAGTGCACGCGACAATCCCGAAAGGTAATATGGGCTATAATCAATACACTGTTCCTGACACTGTAGCTGTCGAACCTGATTTTGTTGCTTTCCTTTAGCTCTCGCAAACATACATCCATGGCCTCTCATGCCATTCTTTCAAATTTCTTTGAAGAAAAGTGAACTCAAAACTACCCACAATACCATTCTGGATTGTCTCGTGCACTTTTTCCGACAACCTTTCTCGAAATAGCTGTATGCAGATATAGGACGAACCTTGGAGACTTCTGACACCGCCGTACGATGATACTGAAGGTATATATAAACGGACATAAAACGGGCGAAAATCGCGAAAGGAACTCAACAACGTGTGAATGAATTTTTCACCAACTTCCCGGCAAAAACCCGAACGACAATGCCGTACAACGATCTACTGCCGGCGTAATTCGATATTCCATGGGCAAAAAAATAATTATAATATTCATTAATTTGACCGGCCAAAATCGGGGTTTGTCCGGGCTAAAAAATATTTGACCGGTCATCATGACTGGCGACCTGCTGTCCGTTATTTTGAGCCTTGCTTCAGGTTTTCTCAAGCGGTCAGAAGTGTTTCTTCAGGCGATTAATTTTTCTGGCTATACAGTCAGATTAGGAGAACACTGTGTATCAGACTTATTTGTTGGTTAATCGTACTTTTCAACCTGTACTTTTGTATACTTGCAGGTAACACATGGCGGTTGAGTTTACAATGGAGAACAACTACAAAGTCCTTTTAGAGAAAATTCAGCATATTTTACATGTTGAACGTCGATGTGGATATACCTTTTTGAAAGGGACTTTTGGGGCAGCTAACAACTATGTAGTGGCTCCCTGTGACCTGTTTGGTAGTGAAGAGGATAAAAGTTTCCAGTTTAAATCACTACTACACTATGTTGAACAGACCATCCTGAAACCTTGGAGTGATAACCAGTCTGAATTCCTATGTCTAACCTACCATGAGAATGACAGTTTAAACCAAGTGAACTGCCTGTCAGTCCTTACTGCTTTTGCCTTTGCAAAAGGTGACAGAATGTGTTTAGAAGAAGTAAAAAGTTACTTTACATCTCTTGATCAGTACCACATGTACCATCCAAAAGTTGGCTTCCTGATGAATAACCTTGGAATAATGTTCACTGAAGTTGCACTTTATGAGGAGAGTGACGAATGCTTCAGAATTGCCAACATTTGCTTTCAGCAACAAAAACATTGTCTGAAAAATGCAGTAGTTACCCTGAACCAAGCTTTTCTGAAGAAGGTCGTGGGTGAATATGAAAAAGCAGCAGATCTCACTACAGCTTCAGCTTCCTTGTGTCATGACATCTCTATGAGGAAAACAAATGATGCGCAACTACCAGCGAAGTTGCTGGGAAGAATTGCTGGTATGTTAAAGGAGTTTGGCAACTACCAGATGCTGAAAAAGGTTCTGACAACTGTCGTTCACTTTGACATCCCAGGTGCTGATAAAACTGCTACAGCTGTTTTATCCAGGCAGTCGATGAAAATCCAGCTTGAGGGAATGGAAAGAAAAATTGAAGCCAAAGAAGTGAAAGATTTTATCTCCCATTTACTTGCTTTGCTCGCTAAACCAGATGCTTCTAAGATATCAATGAATGCTGAGCTCTTAAGAATTGTTATCATTGCAGCAAAGGTTTTTCGCAGTATTGGTCAATGCAAAGAAGCTTGCGAGTTATTAAAGAAGTTGCAAGGTATTTTCCTTCTTGTCCATGGTGAAAATAGTTTTCTCTATGGATCACTACTATACCAAATGGGCTGCTTTCTGCATGGCTGTGGAAGGTTTAATGATGCTGAGACTGCACTCAAACAGGCTGAAGGTATCTTGATTTGTTATTGTGGAGAAAATCACCATTCAGTTGCCTTGTGTAGGAGTGTTCTGGGTTCGTGTATTCTGCTGAAGGGCAATGCCAAAGATGCCTTAGAATACCTAAACGAGGCATTAACAGTCTTCAGGAAGCTGAATCCTAATCATCCAGAAGTAGGAGAGATTCTTTTGAAAGTTGCCTTCTTGTATTCTGAAGAAGGAAATTTCCAGCAAGCCCAAGAAACCGTGCAAGAAGCAGAAGCTATTTTCATTTCATCCTGTGGTGAGGTATCTCTCAAGACAGCCAATGCGTACTTTCAAGTAGGAATGATCTTCCAGAGGTTTAGAGAGTTGCGCATGCCAACTGTTGGAAAAATACAAGAGGGCATTAAGATGATGGTAAATCTTGGAATAAATGTCAGTCATCCTGATGTCATGTTTTGGAGAAGTTTACTTGGCAGCTTAAAACAGTCCTTGGGTCTGGTAAAAGAGGCAGAAAAGTGCTTTATAGATGTCCAAAACAGTGTTGGTGGCGTAGGCAGCAAGGAAACAGAAATAATTACCCCGGTAAACTTCCTTCACTCCCAAGACAGAGCTGATGTTAGCAGAGGCAAATCTTCATTCGCTAGAGCTCAGTTCATTTCTCTTATTAACTTGGTACACATGGAAAGAGCTAACAAGAGAATCCAGTATCTTGATAAACTTGTGTCCTGTTTGAAAGAAGAGCAAGTAGAAGAAATTCAAATGAGGGATTTTGCTGGCCAAGATTTGTATTTATTTACTCACAGGATTCCTTCATTTAACAGACCTGCAGTCTTAGTTATACACACATTTGATTCATTGGCTGATAGATTAGAAGCAGATGTTGATGATGGCACTGATTCAAAAATGTTCTTGTCATCCTCTGCAGAAAAATCACCCCTCAGTTTGTTTTTGAGGATTCAAGGTAGAGGTCTGGATGTGAAAGAAATCAACTGTATGACTTCTTCCTTCCGCGAGAGTGTAGAAATCCTATTTCTGCAACCAAAGTTTAGAAAAGGTTTCGTAGAAGGAAAGGATGTGTATGTAGAACTCCCAACTCAAACAGACATTTTTTCCCTTTCTAGTTATCTTGACTGTCTCCCTTTACTTGTTGAACTGGAGTTGACAAAATCACAAGGACTGTACGATGATTTTGATTACTTGACGTCTTGGCAATCTTCTGTGGACTCTGCTACACATCCTGCACCACATGTCTCTTATTTTTCCTATAGTTGTGTCAACCAGCGTGAGACAGAGTTTGTCTGGGACCATTTGATCCAAAATTTTGGTCAACAATTGGCACTAAATGGTTTCCAAGAAAGTATGATTTCTGATGTTTCATTGGAAGAGAACGTTGCTAGATTCATTGTTCAAGAGTCAAATTTGTTTTTAACTATTGATGTCAGGAATCTTTCTGTCATTGTGAAATGTTGGACTATTAAGGAATCAGGTTCTAACTGTCATTGTTCCTTGATAAGAAATGTGCTGACTGTTACCATTGAGTCATTATTTGAAATTTTGAATGTTGATGTTGAGTCCTCTCTGCAGCTGGGTTGTGAAGGTGTCAATGGCTTTGTTCTTGGCCATGATGATCATGATGGTAACTGTAACCAAAGTGTTGACAAAGACTTAGTTGGTTCTGGTCCAACATTGGAAACTTGGAATTCAACGGTGACATGTCTATGTAGTATTTCTGGGGGTGCAGAAGCAGATTTGAAAANCCCCCCCCCCCCCCAATTTCTTTAGAAATAGTTGAGCAAGCAAAATACATGAGTGCTCTTCGTGCACAATCTCTGCACATCAAGATGCGAGATGCAGAGAATAAAGAAAGTGAGTCGCAGTTTTCTTGCTGATCCTACATGTACTTTGTAGCAGTGTGCAGGATGTGTGTCAATTACAGCAGCTTTGTAGATTTGGAGGGGTTCTTACGTCTGAATTCTTTTCTTAAGAGACACCCATCAGGTCCTTTTTCAGGTCTTTTTATTATTTTTAATGTGGGTAAATTTTGTTCAGACTATGTTAACCTCAAGCCAATGCCACCAGCAGTGTCCCCCATTTTAGCGTACATGATGTGCGGGGGTGGCCCATTTGGGGCTTTCAGGGCTGTTCTCCTTTTGCATCATTTGCAAGCTATTTTCAGCCGATCATTACGGATCACTTTGGCTTTTGTGTGTGCCAATTAGATTTAACATTTGCTTCATCTGATGTAGCAATATATCACCAGTTGCGTCAATAGTATGAAGCAAACGGTAAATCTAATTGGCCACTTTGCGGTTGTGTAGGAGACTGGGTCGAGATGGCTGTCAAGTACATAGTGGGACTGTTTTGGGGTGATCTTGACCTGGTCTCCCATGCAGCCTCAAAGTGGCGAATACATTTACCATAAAATAAGGTTTATACACAAGCAGATTGTGTGGGTGCCCTGTGGTGAAACAAAAACAGTCAACGACTGTCTGAAATTTAACCTAATATATAAAGAGGAGTAAAGCTTTGCTCCAGATTTACAGTGGGCTTACTTTACAGCAGCTGTGTTAAAAAAATGGTCTTTCTGCAGGTAACCATTATCACAAAAGAAAAAGAGGAACCAAACAATGTACCTCTTCTGGGGGCTTTATTGTTTGGTTGTATTGAACGCTTTCTTTTGCTGTGCATAATTTGTGCCTCGGTACCTACAAAAGGAACCTAAAAAATGCTGGATGCTTAGCCAAGGACAGAAAAATTAGTACAATCCTTTATTGAAACACAATCAGTGTTTGTATTAAGCAGATAGCATTTGTTGATCAGTTTGTATTCTTTTTGGTAACAGAATGCAGACATCATCCATCCTTTATGCCATCCCTGTGACAATTGTCAACATGTAGATGTTGGCCTATGCCTTCTAGAGTGCCTTCTGAATCAGTCAAGACCTGTATTGCATACTGGAGAGAAAGAATTGAACAATGGTGAACCCACTTCAAATGATGTTAATGGGTGTGTCAGCCATATTACACATTCCAGTCTGTCCTCAAGTATCTTTTCAAGCGCTACTTCATCTTCATTGAACTCAGTGCCTGCAAGCCCATCCACTTTCTCTTTAGCTGGCACTAGTAGTCTATTCACATCAACAACATCCCCAAGTGAGAGCTTATCATCTGTTGACAAATTGAAGGAATGCAAGGGAGATTCTTCTTGTGATGATAATTCATCAAGAATTACAAAGTGCAGTGGACTGTCTGTTAGTTTACCAAAGGAGCCTTCAGTGCCTGTCGATACATGTACATTTTCACAATCAAGTTACAAGGAATGCTTAAATACAGAACAAATTTTTTCTTATTCTGAAACACAAAATACTAAACAGTCAAAACCTTTCACCATCAAAAACATCAATGGACCTGAGGAACTGAAGATAATTTCTTCTGATCAGAGAGCTCCAGTACAGAATATTTCTTCAAAGGACAAGAACTCAAGTATTAGTAATGACAGCAAGCTCTCAGCAACTCAGTGTGTTGAAGATTTATGTGCAAATCAAAGTTCAAAGCTTGAAGAACCTCTTCAGAGTATTCAAGGACCATTCTCTGGGGCAAGTTCAGACAAAGTTGACACAGGAACTGCAACTGTGGATTTTTTTAGAACTCTGCTGGCAAATTTTGAGGATGAGTTGGCAGCTTCTCAGAGGGATCATCATGAATTAGAACAACAGTTTAGAAAACTTGAAGGAAAATTGAAGCAGAGTGAGGAGGAGAAACGTGAGCTTCAAGCTGACCTAGGGAGATTTCTGTTCCTAGAAGAAAAGGCAAAGCGCCGTGGAAGGCTCCTTGGTGGGGCAACTGCAGTACAAGAGCCTGGTAAGCCAGAGATGTACAGCTGAGCTTTCAGTGTACTGATTAAACTATTATTTTATCACGAGAAAAACTAAATTCTCAAATCTCATTGGCTATCAACTGCCCTGATTTCAGCACTAATTAAGTAACTGGACAGTATGTGCCATCGCACTTGTGCACTTACATGTAAATGGCCTTTTTTTCACTGCTAGCAGCCTAAAATATCACAAATTTTGTTATAGTCACGATTAATATTGGTATCAGAACTTCGTATCGTCCAATTCAGTCTGTAACCACATACTCGTGATTTAACAAATTTCGTTTATCCCTTGTATGATTAGAGACTGAATTGAACTCCGCTCTGTCCTATTGCCATAAGATTATTAACTTTATTAAATAACTGCTTACCTTAGTGGAGGAGGCAAACCCAGCACCTAGATAGAGTTTTACCCTGACGGCTTGTTAACCATTTCAGCCATGAGCCCCCATGCCAATGGAACCAGGTACCCATCACTCTTATTCATCAGTGGAAAAATAAAAGGGAGCAGCGATGGGGGTAAATGCACAATACAATGGCTAAGTGAAACAATTGGCCACCAGGAAATGCTGTGCTAAACACATGGAGCTCATGCAATACTGACCACATTTGAGCCACCAAACTGACTGCGGACAGACAACAAGAGATGGTGCTCCTTGTTAACTGCCATAAATTTTATGTGACTTCATGAAAAAGTGAAAAAGTGTCTTTTCTAAAACCCTCTGACCTTTAGGGTGGGGGGGGGGTGTGGGGAAGCATTTAGAAAAGGTAATGAAAGGGGTAATGGACAATGAGTAAAGGTAACAAGTAACAGGTTTGCCAGCAATTATTTTTTTTAAAGGGTGTCCAGTCTGTGTCTCACTTGCAGGTCACTGTGTTAACAGGAAGTTGTAAGGCTACATTGTACAGATGTACGCACCACATGTATGCAAAATCATGATGTCGACCACAAATAACGTTATTAATGTCATGCAGTAATTTTTCACAGTCGAACATTGTCCAGTGACCGAATGTCGTAATATATGTATACAATTTTTGTGCTTATATTGAGGCAAATACAGGATCTTGCCTAGATGTTATTCTTAGTGGACAATAATTATTTTGCAATTACCTATAAGTTCTTGATTTTCCTTCCACTAGGTCTCTTCCTGCATTCAAGGCTCCTAGAGATCTCTAACTCATTGTCATCAACAGAAGTGAAAAAGATCAAGTTTCTGCTCAAAAGCAAAGTTAGTGGTTTCAGACTTGAACGTATAACAGAGGCGTTTGAACTGTTTGAAGAACTGGAAACAAATGGATTGTTTTCCTTAAACTATATTGGGCAACTGCTTGGTGGAATTCAGCGATATGATCTTGTGGAAAAACTTGGAATTCATGCACCCCTATCAAGGAGTAGAAAAGGTCAGAGAAAGTTCATCAAATTTAAAACAATGATTATATCAAAAAGTTTATTTTGAAGTCAGGGTACAANGGGCAACTGCTTGGTGGAATTCAGCGATATGATCTTGTGGAAAAACTTGGAATTCATGCACCCCTATCAAGGAGTAGAAAAGGTCAGAGAAAGTTCATCAAATTTAAAACAATGATTATATCAAAAAGTTTATTTTGAAGTCAGGGTACAATCACATTATGCATACAACATCCAACAATGGTTAATTGTGAAGGAAGAACACCTTCTTGGGAGTGACTGTGGGTTCACTGTGGATTGTTTGTTGGCTGACTGCCCATCAACTGTCTGGCCTGTTCTCCACAATATTATTATCCACCTACCTCTAAACTTGCCCTCACTGTAGAAAACTGTGGAGATTGGGGTAGAAAATTACCTTACTTGATTCCCAAAGAAAAAGAAGTCTGTAAGAGGTTTAAAGTAGAACTGGCAGTAAATTACATGTAAGATGTTGCTTGATATAGACAAGAGTTATATCAGCCCCTTTCATCATTGTGTTCTCCAGCGATTAGCCTATGTGTTTTCAGGCTGTTTCTCCACCCCAGTCTGGGTACTACTGGATTTTAAGAAAACCATGAAAAAAAGTGTCTAAGGGCCCTGCCCCTGTTTTTGTACTACGTTAGTTACAGCAAACTTACAACTTGCACCAAGCATGCTAGCAAGTCATCAGCTGAAAATAAAATTGTACGTATAAATTGACTAAGTATAGCAACTCAATAAATGACAGAATGGGACATTTTATGTATTTGTGTTAAGTGCACTCTGGCCTTTGCATAGAAGAAAGGCTGGAGGTGAGCTTCTTTTTTTTACAAGCGTACTTGCTTTTCTTTGGCAAATTCTATTATTCTCCTAATTACAAGTCTGTTTACAAGATTAATTAGATGTGAAAACTGGAAGGTTTGTAAAGTAGAGGGTTGCTTCATTCTATTTATTCAAAGGCCAAAGGAGTCAAACACATCTGTTAATGGTCTACTGACCAAATTCTAGACATTCTGAACAATTCTGTAAATCAAAATGTTGTTTATGACAAGCTAAAAAAGTTGCAATCACCATTTATTTCTGATTCTGATTGTTCGTGCTCCGCACACTAAATCACGATGGAAATGGAAATAATCCAAAATTATCACAACTGTCAAGGGAGTACAAAGTAAAGGCATGTCTTTGAGGTTTAAGTATTTTTGCACCTTTAGCGTTGAGCTAATCATGTGATGTACATGTATGCAGGCTCTTATTTGTCGATATTGCAAGTCAGTACAAAGAATCCCCTCACATTGCATAATTTCTTTTGTTGTTGTTTTTATAGGATCAAACAGTTCTGTTGAGTCAGACCATGCTTCAAGTTCAGCCAAATCTGCCCCTGTGCAAGACAACATTTTAAATGAACAGACAGATGGACCTGAAATGAAGACACAGATGAATTATGCACCTTCCTCAAAAAATTTTTTTGAGCTCACAGGCATTGATGAAAATGGTACGTCACTAAGAGCAGATGAAATAGATCATGGTCAAAGCCAGTGCTCATCAATTTTATCCAGTGGAAGCTCAGTTGAGGAAGACAGTGACATACGTTTGTCAGATAAGAGTGTAGAAAATGTTGTGCTGGTGGAAGACAGTCCTCAGTTACCCATCCATTCAGATGATATGTTCGTGTCAAATTCCAGTCGCAGCTCATCTGATTTGTTGGCAAATTCTGACAAGACTGCACCAGCAACTTCTAACAGCACCTTACAAGCTTCTTGTGAAGTTGATGGCTTTCAAGTGATGTCAGATGGTTCCCAGTCAGCCTCTGGTTACAGCAACCCCAGTCCTACAAGTTGGGATACCCAAGGGATCTCTCATGTGATGGCCAGACCAGACAACCAGCCAGCAGATGAAGATGGCCAGCTAAAAGGAGCATGTGCCAGCAATGGCAAAGAAAGAGTGGTTAAGTCACATGATTTCTGTGATGGAGCAGTAATGGCAGTTCCATATTGCACAAAGACAATCCCTGAGTGTACAAAAAGAGATTCTTTAATTAGTTCAGATTCAATTCTTGCCAGAACTCATAATATTGCAAATGGAGGAAGTGTTTTTTCAACACAGCAGCATGTGTTTTCAGAAGGTGAAAGAGAAATTACTCCACCATCATCAGATGCAACAGACTGGAAACGTCTAGGTGCTAGACCAAAGGAACCTCAACGTATAAATGATGGACAAGTACCAAAAGAGCCTGTTGTGTATATAACGGATGGCTTAGCTGGTGATTTCTTAGCGAGACACACACAAGACAAGGCCCTTCATGACAGTATCTATCAAACTGATGTTGGTTCTCTCTTCAATGACATTCCATCTCAGGGGACTTCCTTTATTGACGGTGACATATCTCAATTTAACAGAGCCCAGCCTTACTTTGGGGATTGCCAGGCTGCATCCAGGACAGAGCCACTTGGTAGAACTGGACATTCACTTGTAAGTGGATCTAGTGGACATCTGGGTGGCTCTTCTTATGTGGAACCTTTCAGTGACNTGATTTCTTAGCGAGACACACACAAGACAAGGCCCTTCATGACAGTATCTATCAAACTGATGTTGGTTCTCTCTTCAATGACATTCCATCTCAGGGGACTTCCTTTATTGACGGTGACATATCTCAATTTAACAGAGCCCAGCCTTACTTTGGGGATTGCCAGGCTGCATCCAGGACAGAGCCACTTGGTAGAACTGGACATTCACTTGTAAGTGGATCTAGTGGACATCTGGGTGGCTCTTCTTATGTGGAACCTTTCAGTGACAACTCAGGACTTTGGCCTAGCCATTTAGGAAATGATTCTTCCTCATTCTATAGTAACTATTTGTCAAGAAATACTTCAACTGCTGCAAACAACTATTCTCTTCAAAGTGATTTTGTACATAATAGCAGTAGATTTGCAGGAGTTGACCATTTTGACAGACAGACTTATTTGCCGTCAGCAAAGCAAACGCCATTTCCTCCTATAGCAAGTGATTCTGTTCTAAATAGTTATCCAGGAATGGCTGGTTCAAGTTTTGCTGACCCTTCATGGACAGGTGCAGCGCTAACTCTACCTGGAGATCCTGTACATAATGCACCAAGATTTAGTAGCTTTTTAAGTGAGCAGCTTACAGACCCTGCTCATGATGCAAATAGGTTTGCTGGTAATGATACCGCTTCAGCTTTCATCTCTAATCAGGGCACAGATGAGCCCGCTCAGAAACCAAATTTTGCACTTGGAAATTCAAGGACAACAACTGGAAACATTGATGATGATGCAAATTCCTCTGCACAGTATCAGCTTGGAAATTCTGCAATGTTTGATGGTGTTTTGGCAGCGAGATCTACACATGATACATCTGTTCTAGAACCTCATTTTGGTGATGCAGACAACAATTCTGTGTTAAACAACACAGACTTTGGTACTGATTCTATAGAAGCCTCTGACAACTCATTACTTGCTCTTGAACGGCGTGTTGCAGAAGCTTGTGCCCTTGTTGAACGCGTTCTTCGGGAGAGGGAGGAACGTGAACAGTTTGGAAGAGAGATAGAAAGGAAAGAACAGTTAATAAGAGAACAGAGAGCTCGAGAAAGGAGAGAGAGAGAGGAGAGAGAATTGCGAGAAGCTGAAAACTGGCCACAGCAACAAGAGGCCATCAACGCACGTTCACAGTGGTTATGTGAACATTATCAACGGCACTGCAGAGTGCGGTTCCCATGTTGCACACAATTCTATCCATGCCATCGTTGTCACAACATCTCGAAAGCTTGTGACAATGAAGAGGCTAAAGCTTGTCACGCCACTCATCTGAAATGCTCTCACTGTCAGCATGAACAGGAGGTAAGCTTTGTTTTCATGTTTCCTGAAACTTAAATTTAAAAAAAATAATCTATTCTACATTATACCTGTACTCAGGACATACTTTTTCAAACTGTACCTTTCAATGAGATTTTGGGTTTTGCTGTGGAAGTGTTATTTTCCTTCATCTTAAAGTTTCATGGGGTTTTATGATTACTTCATTGTATATTAGCGAAAAACAAAGTATAATAAATGTAAATAGAATAATATATTGAATCTCAATGTGATTATAAAATCATTTTAAGTATCTTGATTACTGCTAAACTCACAAACCTGTGAACACTAGATTGGTTAATTTTTTATTTTGTGTTTTTAAGTCCTGGTGTTTTATGAAGTGCTGTTCTCTTAATACATTGTATCTTCAGTTTAATCAACACCATATTTTGTCTGTGTCATTTTTACAGATTGGTGAAGACAGTGCAAAGTGTCATAAGTGTGGGGGGAAAATGTCTGCTTATTTCTGTCCCATCTGCAAGCATTTCACCAGCGTCGATAAAAATCCATATCATTGTGAAAAATGTGGGATTTGCAGGTAGGTGACTTGGGATTATCTATTGTTATTCTGGCAAAATTATGATTGTAATAATAAACATTGTTCCTGTGAAACACACAGACACTTCATAAGAAAGGGGCATAATATTGGTCTTAAATGTGAAGAAAATGTTTAGCCTAGTGTTTGTTGTGTTTAGATGGTGGACAGGCTGCAAAGGAGAGATCAGAGTAGCAGAAAACTGCTTTTTTTGTTCTGCTTTCGGTTAGGCACAAACACAAATAGACAGGACTAACAAGTCTATTTTGCACCATTCCCCACTGTCTGATTACATGGAAGCAGCTAGCCAGGAATAATTTTATCAGCAAAGTTCTTTCTTGAAGTGGCTCTCTTAGGGCCTGTTTACATGGAGGTGGGGGACCCCAGGTAGCTGAGGTAACCCACCTGTCCATATAAACTTTCTTTTCAATTTGACCGTGTTTATGTGATAGGTGGGGTGACCCGCTCCTTGTTACCTCACTGATCTGAGGTCCCCCACCTCCATGTAAACAGGCCTTTATTTGATCCACTTTCAGTTTTCCATGGCTAGTAGAAATGAAATGACTTGACTTGTTTGGATGAGTTATGTAATAAATGAAGCAAAAACTGTGTGATGGATAATCGATATTGTTTTTTGTCACTATTTTAGGATTCATCAGGACAAATCGTTCCATTGTGAAGTGTGTAACGTTTGTTTAGACAAACGGCTCGAGGGTAATCACAAATGTCGACCAGATTCAGGTCATGACGAATGCTGTATTTGCCTGGAGGTGAGGTTTAATTTCTTGAGGAAAAGGGTACTGAATCGTTGATGAGAATGAGGTCGCCTTTTTTGAGAGTGAATAGAAAGAGGTCTTTGAATAGGGGCCTTCGTTGTTGACAAACATATTGCTATATCTATTATCATATTATAATAAATAATATTTCAAGAAGTTTGCCACGCTAATTGTCTTTTCCATTAATTGCAGGATGCATTCAGTGGTTGCCAGATATTGCCATGTTCACACAAAGTACACAGAGAATGTGCTATTGCCATGATACAAAATGGCATGTAAGTCAATATCAGGTCATTCATTCATGACATAATAAAATAATGTACCATATCTTAAGAAGTGAGGGCTAAGTATCAAGTAGTACACCTGCAAAGGAAATTGAGAAGAAAATGAAAACAAAACAAATAGCTCTCATGAATGTTTATGGCACACCCACAAATTTCAAAACAGAGGGAATGTTAACTTATGAAGTATCTCAGCCATAAATTCCCCAGAAAGTTAGTTGGAAAAGAATACTTTCTGCTACAAAAACAGCGAAAAAATTGAATACAAACGAATTGTTGTCTCCAAGGAAATTGCCCTTATCATTATGCCTTTTCACACGTACATATAATTTATTCATGTGAATAAGATAAAATATGAAAGGAACAGTTCTCTAGAGGACTGATCTTAATTGGAAAAACAAAACATACAAGCTAAAGAGGCCTGTTAAGAGCATCCCAGGCCTAGTTGTAACACAGCCCTCTTGTGCTTTAGTCCTGTATTATTGCGAAGTGATCACTGTTGGTGAAATGTGGTGATTTACGTACCTCACAATTACGTACAGAAAATGTTTAGAGAAATGTGTGGATTTCAGTGCAAGATCCAGACCTTGAGATAAGGGGCGGGGGGGGTCTCCAAAAAAATTTTTTTCGGCAGCCTCAGTTTGGTCTAAAAATAAGGTGGGGCTCAAACCCCTTGCACCCCTCNTTTCTTGTTTTTATTGTGTTGAAGGTTTATTGGGTGTGTAATGGTGTTATGTGTTATACTGAAAAAAATAAAAACAAAAATGTATGAGAGATGTTGGGGGTGGCGGGGGCGAACCAGATCCGTGTGGGGGGGGGGGGGGGGGGGGGGGGGTCTCCAAAAAAATTTTTTTCGGCCCTTAGGGCCGGCGGCCTCAGTTTGTTCTTAAAGTAAGGTGGGGCCCAGACCCCTCACACCCCTCCCCTGGATCCACCACTGGATTTGCTGCCAGACATTAAGGCAGTTTAGGTTCAATGGTTGTCCGTGTTTCCAGCTTTTAGATGTTTGTTTCCCCCTTGACCTTTGCATTTTTTCATTGGTGGTAATGGTTCAAGGAATTGTCTTGGCTAATTGGTAATGATATTATTTTTGTCTTTTTCAGTCGCACCTGCCCAATTTGTCGACATCCATTGTACAGCCAGTCCAGGGAGTAAGTCTTCTGTTGTTAGCCTGTAGAAGAGGCATTATTTTTTTATTTTATTTTCTGGTGAGCGAGGACAAAAACAAAGCGAGTATGGAGTGTTCGCCGAGTAGCAGACATGCAAGACGAAAGGGAGGAGAAAAAAAACTCGCCTAACTCTTGCCCTCACTTGCCAGAAAAAATCAAAATATAATGCCTGTTCTGCAGACTATCTTATGCAGGAGTTAACACAGTTAACTTAACAGCGAGATGAGGTTTTGTATTTGAATTTCCATTAAAAGAATGTGGTGTCACCTAAGGTTATTATATTGTTTATGCTCATGGATGGTGCCTTACATGTAGCAAGGTGCTACGACTCAACTTAGTTCACAATCACATTGGAACTTACATTTGTGATTGTTGAGACTAAAGGCTGGCAGTTGTGACCTTCCAGTTGATTTTTAGGTTAAATTTTTTGACGAATGGGATATTGAAATAATCAAGTTGCAATTGATAATGTTGTATCGGCATAGATTCTGCTTTTGTTGCTTTGTTTGAAAGAATTCTAGTCTGTTAATTAGTTGTTATTGTTAGGAGGGAACTAAATGAAATCTCACAGAAACTTGAATCAAAGAAATTAATATATCATTTTCCAGAACAATATATTTTTGATATCTAAAATTTGTACAATATATTTAATATCTTATTTATTACGTTTGTTATTGTTGTTCTTATGGTTGTTTTTAAATAAACTTTGACTAAAGTTCTTATCGTTGGTGTAAACAATGGCAGACCATATGGCTACCCTGTTAAGAGAAAGGTGGAAGGATGGTACCTTACCTTGCGGATAAAAAATGAAACATCTCAACTTGAGTTAACGAATAGAGTACGATTGGCTTACAGAATCACATTTAAGTTTAAAACTAGCCAAATAAAAAATAATAAAAAATCCTCGCGAAATTTTATCGCCTTTTTTTCTTATTTTCCTTTTTAAATCGAAAAAACATTCTGCGAAGTACTGTCTCGCTAAAATCGCGAAATTAAGTGCAAATAAGGTATGTTATTTTGTCGCTCAAAGATATACTGTATTTCCCTTGACACGCGCTATGTTCTTATTCTTGGCCTTTTAAAAAAACCTTCAAAAAAAAATCTTGTTCCCAGATCACTAGCAGCTAAATACAGGAATTGCACCGACCTGTGATTGGAAGATAAAAATAGTATGTCAGTGGCGATGACGTGACAATTCGTTACCTTAGCCGTTTCAAGAGTAATGGTTTTTACACGAAAAAGACAGTCCACAGGAAAATAGTAATACAATATAATATTAAATATTTCTCAAAGACAAACAGTGCAGTATTCTTTTGAAGTCGGCTGACTCGCTAAGAGTCAATGTCTTATCGAAGCTGAATTTCAACTGTCGTAAATCGGATAACTTCACTGAGTGATTCTGAGATGAAACCTTTTGTCTGCATCCACATTGATCTTAGATTTTACCACGTACATATTGAAGAAAAGCCATAAACAGAGCTTCAATGTCCACGTACACCCGACTGAACCTCGGTGCGATTCCTGCAGATACCGCTGTTCATACTAAATGCAGGAATTGCACCGGACGCGTTCTCGTCCCCAGAGTCACTCTAAGTTGTAACAAAAGAGCACGTGACCAAGAAAGACGGGCTCTGGGAACGAGAATACACCGGACGCTCATTGGTCGAATGCGCAACTTGGCATAAATGAAATAGCCCCTAGCCTGCGAACAGCAGACGCATTTCCGGTCGTCGCTTCTCTCCCTCCGAAAAATAGACGCTATTTTTCGGAGGCAGAGAAGCGACGACTGGAAATGCGTCTGCTGTTCGCAGGCTATTTTTCGGAGGGAGAGAAGCGACGACCGGAAATGCGTCTGCTGTTCGCAGGCTAAATAGCCCCGGGAAACTTTATTGATTTTCTCGCGTTTTGATTTTCGCTTGATAGGACAAGACTTAGGCCACTGGAAATAACACATCACTTGCATTCGAAGTTAAATTATACTGAAGCAGGGGTTATAGGATCCTGACTAAAGGTCATCTAAACCTCGGGCTGATTGTTCTTTGCCTTTTTTTCTTTTACTGCTTGACTTTACAAGTGTAACATGCTCTCCTTGGTGAGTATATCGAATCTAAAATACCTCAGCAATGTAAAAATAATGGTCACCGCACCGAGGTTCAGTCGGGTGTACGTGGACATTGAAGCTCTGTTTATGGCTTTTCTTCAATATGTAAGTGGTAAAATCTAAGATCAATGTGGATGCAGACAAAAGGTTTCATCTCAGAATCACTCAGTGAAGTTATCCGATTTGCGACAGTTGAACTTCAACTTCGATAAGACATTGACTCTTAGCGAGTCAGCCGACTTCAAAAGAATACTGCACTGTTTGTCTTTGAGAAATATTTAATATTATATTGTATTTTCCTGTGGACTGTCTTTTTCGTGTAAAAACCATTACTCTTGAAACGGCTAACGTAACGAATTGTCACGTCATCGCCACTGACATACTATTTTTATCTTCCAATCACAGGTCGGTGCAATTCCTGTATTTAGCTGCTAGTCCCAGATCCTTGACCGCCATTTTGAATCAATATTGAAATCACATGATTTGCTTTAGCGAGAAACTTTTGTCGCTTACCTGGTCGCTTACCCAATCTCTTACCTAGGGTACGTTCGATTGGGAAATCTGGATTTAGATTTTAAAATCCGGATTTCGCATTTGCAATCGAACGCGAAATCCGAAAACGGATTTCAACGCTGAAATATTTGTTTTTGGATTTTCCTTTTTACCGTTCAATTGGGAAATCCAAACAATCCGGATTTAGATTTTGAAAATCTAAATCCGGATTTCCCAATCGAACGCACCCCTAGAGTCCTCGGGAATCCTCGGGCTCTTTGGTCAGTGGGTAGTGGCCCTGCTGACCAAAAAGACAGAAGACTCTTGGTACCAGATCGGTATGAGGAATACCCTCAGGGGTGTTTACATGTGAACTCCGTGGCTGCGCCAGTGGCCCCGACCCCTCCCCTCAGGAGGAAACCGATGGGAGGGGCGCTGTTCCCAATCCCGGCATTCTAGATCTTGTCGCCGCCATTTTTGGATAGTCGAAGCCGCCCGCGACTAGCTATTTACGGAAAAATAGGAGACTGCAAACGGTCAAAGGTATTAGGTAACGTCACCTACGGTTGATCGTCGCTGTACTTGTCGGTGAAAGCGAGGTAAGTTGTAACAACAGCGAAATTACGCAAAAGCGCGACAGAGGAAAGAAGGAGGCAATTGGCTATGGGGAGATCGCGACAAACCACGCAAGGAATACGTTTCGTGTCGTCGCACTGGCCATAGTACCCCCAAAATATGACATTTGTTTATTTATCTATTTGTTTTGGTCATTTAGAAATATCATACAGGTTTTTATTTAACCAGAATGCTTCAATTTAACTCATAGACCCCAACCGGCCATTTTGCGCATGAACACGAACTCCTCCCCTCCTCCCCAAGATATTTTTTTTCTTCCGACTGACCAATCTCTCCTCTGCGCATATATTTGGTGGTTTTTTAGAGGGTAGTGGAAGAAAATATTTGACACCTTGGTGAAGGGTATCCATTTTCAATAAAATGGCTGCCGTTTTCAAGACCAAAGTTCCGCATTTAAGGTTAAAAATACATCATTAAAAGACACAAATGGAGAGAGAAAGTTAAACAGAATGCTCAGTTTTCTTTTGTGGAGGAAGGAAAGCTTTTCGTCAGGAAATCGTCCCTCGAGGAATTCAACCTTGGTTTCTTTTTACAGCGTAGGGCATGGTATGTTTTGAAATGCAACGAAGGCAGCGACGTTTTTGCTAAATTTTCAGGTACATTTTGTACTCTATGACCAAGCGAATTACGTGGCGTAACTGCAGTATCCGCGTATCCACTTCGATATACACTTAAGACAGCATGAAAAGCAATATAGTATGTGTATTTGTCGTTCTTAAAGCCACTGAAGGTAGAAAAGCCATAAAGCACTTTCAGGGATACAGCTTCGAAGTGGCAGGGTATTCTGTAGTTTCTCTAATTACGTTTTTGAAAGGGAATTTATGTATTTATAAATGTTTCATAGACTTTTTATTCATTTTGTCGTCGAAGCGAAACAAAACTCACAAAATGCCCCCCGATTAGAGATTGATTTTGTTTTGAATTTTGCCTTTTACTTGCGCGAACGGAGCCACGATCCAGATAGTGTTACACGAATATTGCTTTGAAGGGTAAGCCTTAAGGGTTTTGAATAAAAATTTTCAAGAAATGACTTCTCTGTATACTGTTTTGTGTTTGTTCATTCATAAAAGTAGCTCAAAACAAGATCGTGATACTACAGCATCCAAGTTGAATTTTATGCTTCTCAAATTATCCGCATCAATACTGTCAAGATGTCGGCGAATTTTATGGAATTTTTACATTCGGGTTTAGTTTTTGGATAGTTGAACCCATAGCTGATGAATTTTATTTGAAAATATGTTTTACTGACTATTCTAGACTTTAATATTACAGGGGCACCCAACGAGGATATAGTTCAAAACCACTTAAACATAGCATTGTTAAACGTATTTTAGTATTTAAACGGTAGATACAGGCATATTTTTATCCCCTAAAAATTTTTCATCTGTTCGGATTTCTTAGCTGAAAGTCTAGTGATCCGAAAATTATAGGGATCAAAACTTATCTTTTCGAAAATTTCAGCCAGAAAAAAGGCTCCTGAAAATTCTAGGCAACCTTTCTAGGGGCAATTATACTATTTTTTAGATGTTCAAAAATCCTAGGAGAGGAAGGCAAGCAAGAAATTTTACAACAAAATGTTCCAAAAATTCTAGATCTCAAATCGTCTTCTGAACAGATATTTTCCGAAAATTGACGTTGGGTGCCCCTGATATTAGGTCTTGTTCTATTTACCCTGTGAGCAGAGGCTACATTTTCACTGTGTAAGCTGGCATGTGAAAAGTAGCCTCTGCAGGCAACCCTTCATATCTGTTCTGAGC